CTCACTAGCACTGGTCCTTTTGGGTTTGAACATTTCAGGCGTTTCTTTTTTGGGTCCTTGATATTCTTGCCACGCGTATCCCATCGTCGTCGTTGGCGGATCGATAACAGCCTTCAGCCGGAAGTTATTCTGTCTATATGATGTGTCTCGATGACGTGGCAATTGTGTCGCAGGTTGCGACCACCATGGAGGTACTGTAGTTGCGGGCGGAGCTCGAGGCGGAGGAGGTGAGCGTGTCGGAGGGGGTACAGTAGTGGTAGTAGTCGTAGTGGTGGAGCTAGGTGGAGGCGTACCTGAGGAACAATCTCACTACCCGGGTTCGATTCCTTCCAAGTCCTAATATTTTTTGTTTTTTGTGCTAGTTATTTCTATCCAACTGTCATTCTTCTAAACCCATTTTGAAAGGGTGATCTTTCATTCCCCTCTCCGAAAAAGCTAATTTCTGCTAATTAGCTATTACTAATTGGCCAAATTATGGAAACTCGAGCTTCTTCTTCTCATATACACATCTCATTTTTCTCATTTTCCACCCACGCTCGCTGGAAAAAAGCAATTTCTTCTCGGGGCGGGGGCAAAAAGAGTCTCTCTCTCACTCAACTTTTCTCTATCTTCTCGAAAAAAAACAATTTTGGGTGTTGGAAAAAAGAAGAGGGGACCCACAAAAAAGGCGGAAAAACGACCGAGAGAGAGACACCTCACTATCATTTGTCATTCTTACGCCGAAAGCAATCTAAATGGAAAAAGAGAGAAAGGAAAAGTGAATGAGGAGCGGCCGCGGGAGACTACTATTATTCTACTTTTTGGTTTAGAAAATTGCGAAACATATGTAGAAAATAGGCTGAAAATCAAAAAAATCATATTTTTAATGCGCTAGAAGCGATTTCAAACACATTGGATATCTGAAAAAAGAAGTAAAAATAGATTGGCCTTAGGAAGGATTCCAATCTAAAGGTCAGGGGTTCGATTCCACCTGGGGCCAAACTGGAGCCAAGCTCTTTTTGCTTCTTTTTAAGGGATTCTATAGGGTTCTAGAAGGTCTTAAATGTCAGAAAACTTCCTCCTAACTCATTTTTGATGAATTCCAGGAAATGATCTACCCAAAGTGCCTCTACAAATCGTCTGGCTTCATGCAAACGTGCACTCAATCCGTCCAAAAGTGCGACCAAGACACTCGCTGCAAACATATAAGACACGCCCTGCAAGCGCACTGCCCGGTGAAGAATGGAGAGTGCGCGAGAAGCTCGTTGGATGATTGTAGGAGGACTATTTTGTCGGCGAGGTGGATTCTTTCAGATGAAAATTGCGAAAAAAGACCTAAAAAGAAGAAAAAAAATAATTTGGACGTCGGAGGAATCGAACCCGGGACCCTCTGATCCATAGTCAACACTCCTAGCCACTAGGCCACTTTGAAAATTTTCCACCAGCCTCTTCCGCCTCGGCTACCACCCCTCCTTTGAGGGCGCCAAGGCACCCTCTCTTCTACGTCTTCCGCTCCATTTCCTCCATCTGCCCGCGTGGTGTAGTGGCTACACTTTTGCCTATCAATCTAGAGGTCCGGGGTTCGATTCCACCTTGGTTTTTTTTCTTTTTTCTTCTTTTTCAAGGTCTCTGATAGGCTTTAAAGCTGCCCTAGACCTTTGAAAACCGGTTTTTCATGATTTTTGGTATCTAAAAACCCCAAAAGCCTTTGAAAATCTTGCTTTTTCAGAGCGTCTATCCTGGAACAACCATGTTTTTGCAAACTATCGGATGTGCAATGTCTGGCTCATCAGAATACAATGATCCCAACAAATCCCTGCATTGAGAATGCCATGATTGAATATTCAAGAATCATGGGGTACAATAAACCGGGTCTCGCCACGAATCGAGTCACGAGTACTGTAGATGAGGTTGAAGGGAGGAATAAGGATGAACAAGAGGAAGATGAAGAGGAGGACGAACCGATTAGAAGGACCGCTAGTACGGTAGGTTTTAAAAAATTTTGAAAATTTTTTTTGGCATTTTTAATTTTTTTTCAAAAATCCAAAATTCTAATTTCCAGCGATTACAAAGAGATATCGAGCTTGATTATAATGAGGTTAAACTTTTTTGTCCAAATTTTTAAAGTGAAATTTCGTGAAATCCCGTGGTGATGGTGCAAACGCGCTCCAGTGAAATTCTATTTATTTTCCTTGGTTCAATTTTGCTCTAACTGTTTGAAAATTGTGAAACTGCTTAAAAATCTTGTGACACAGTTGTCTACCAAATTTCAGCGCGTTTCGATCATTTTCAGCAAGGTTAGATGAGATTATCAAAAGAGCGCGTTTTCTGAATATCGCCCAAATTGGTTGAAAACCATATAAAACTGCTTGGAATGTTGAAATACGTCGTGGCAAGAATTTTCATCGCGATTGATAAAGTTTGAAGAAAATTAGGAATTTTGCAGAAAATGCGCTCCAGCGTACAAAAATCAAAAATAAGCGTAACTTGCTTCAAAGTAGCTCAATTAGTCTGAAAATTTCTGAAAACGCTTCCAGCCCGTTATAGTACTTTCTGACAAAGTTCGGGCTAAATTTGAACAACTTTTGCAAGTGCGCTCCACTGAACTTTTGTCATAATTCGCTCAAACTGGTCGAAAGGTACATCAAAATGTTCGGCATATTGAAAAACGTCGTAGCAAAAGTTTTAATCGCGAATGATCAAGTTTGAAGAATTTTAGGAAAATGCGCTCCAGCGCACAAAAAATGAAAAATGAGTGTAATTTGCTTCAAAATGGTTCAAATTTCTCCAAAATCTCAGAATAGGCTGAACAAAGTGTCAGAAACGTATAAAAGTAGCCAACGTTCAATTTAACAAGGGTGTTGCAAATGCGCTCCACTGAATTTTTGCTATAACTTGCTTCAAAGTTATCGGATTAGGCTGAAAATTTCAGGAAACGATGGAAAACTATTTTAGTGCCTATTACTAAGTTAGAGCCGTTTTTGAGATAAATTTTGCAAGTACGCTCTACCGAACTTTTGGCATAACTCGCTTCAAAATTGACCGATTAGGTTCAAAAATTTCAGAAAATAAAAAAAAATTGTTTAGCAACATTTCTAAATTGTTCTAAAAATGAGCTTCTTTGCAAACGCGCTCCATTGTGAAATAAGTGAAAATTACGTGAAATGTGTGAATTCAAGCTCACTTTTACTGATTCTCAACACATTTTTTGCAGATCAGTCACATTCCAATAACTACAGTAACATTTGCCCCAGCAGTGGCTCCCAAGACCACCTACCGACCCTATCAACAACAAAATAATAGGAAACGAATGCGAACAACGACAACTACAACAACACGCGCACCAATGACAACATCCGCTCCTACAGTAATCCGAACTACAAAAACTACGAAGACTACAACCACGACTACAACAACAACTACAATGTCTCCTCCAATGGTGACGTCAAAGAAATCCAGTTTTTTGGATTTATTCGGAATTTTTGGAAAAAAAGAAACTGCAAATGTGGATTTGGAGCAAAAAATCATAAAACCTGAGCAATTGGAAAATTCGGAAAAAGAACAAATGAATGAAGAAGAAATGATGATCAAAAAATCGCACGATTCTCCGAAAAAAACGAAATTCCGAACTACAGTAACCCCGCCGATCACTTCGGAAGCTCCGCCCCCATGGATCTCAACAACACCTACGGTACCCACAACAACTACAGTATTCACGACACATGCTCCACCCCCAATGGAAGGATGTAATACAAAAGATGCGAATGGAAGAGAGATTTTCACTCATATTGGAGCGATTATGAGGGTAAGTTCGCTCTATTGATACTTTTTGAATATCTCATTTTGGAAGAATCCGAGAAATCTGAAAACTTCAGAATTACATTTTAATGTACTGAAAAACGTATGTGCCAATTTTCAGCAAAATCCGACCACTTATTACGAATGCGCTCTACCGTACTTTTGAATTATCAGGGTTGATAATAATCCTAGAGCTCTGAAAATTTCAGAAGTGCAATTTCATGTATTGAAAAACCAGTATGCAAATTTTTAGCCAAGTCTGAGCACTTTTTGCAAATGCGCTCTACCGAACTTTTTGAATATCTAGGTTCAGAATCGTCCTACGGTTCTTAAATTTTTAGAATTGCGTTTTAATAAACTGAAAAATAGGTGTGCCAATTTTCAGCAAAATCCGATCATTTCTCACAAACGCGCTCCACCGAACTTTTTGAATATCTCACTTCAGAGAGCTCATGGAGGTCTGAAACTTACAGAATTGTTTTAGAATGCACTGAGAAACCGGTGTGCAAAATTTTAGCCAAATCCAAGCTTTTTTTGCAAACGCGCTCTACCGAACTCATAGATTTTTTTCAGAAATACGTCGATTGGTCGGGTCGTTGCTCCACATGGTGTGAGTGTGAATCAGAGGATCATTTGGCATGTGCAGCAATGCCATGTCTAGACCATGGGACATGTGATGCGCCGCTAACAACTATTGGTAAGTGGTTTTATCAATAGAGCGCGTTTGCAAAATTTTTCTGAATCTGGTTGAAAACAAGCGGAAAATGTTTTCCATGTTAAATTACGTCGCCATAAGAATTTTCACCGTGATTGGAGCAAAAACAACGATTTTAGATTTTAGGAGCAAATGCGCTCCAGCAAACAGAAATGAAAATTGAGTGTAACTTGCTTCAAAGTGATTCAAATCACTTCAAACTTTCAGACTAGGCTGAACAAAGTGCTAGACATAACTAGAAGTAGATAGCGTTCAATTTAACAAAGATTTTGCAAATGCGCTCCACTGAACTTTTGCCATAACTCGCTTCAAAATGGTCGGTTTTGGCTCAAAATTTCAGAGATGATTTTTAGCGTTTTATTAAACAAGATGACGTTAAAAACGCTTTAAAAAGAGAAAGATTGCAGAATTTGGTGAACGAGTCTTCCTCAAAGACCGTGGCGCGTGCTACTGTGAAACTGGAAATTTCGTGTGTGAATTTGCGGAAGAGGCACCGGAAATGTATCCAGGACTCTATATGTCAATTGGATACTCTCAAAAAGATGTGGAATTGATCAGAAAAACAGTTCCGCGGGAAATTCTGGATAAAGCTGGATTTTCCTCCTCCGACGCTTCAACAGATATCGCCTCTCGAATGCAAATCGCTTTTGAGCGAATTTTACCTAAGAATCTACAATGTCGAATAGTAACAATGAATGAGCTCTCGGAGCCGGGAAACGCGCTCTACCGTATCGAGTGGTACGGTAGAAATGAGATGTTCAATCATACAAGGACCAAGTGGCACTCGGATGGGGCGGAGAAGGTAAGGGATTTGAAGTTCTCATATCTCGAAAACTCAAAACGGTCTCATTGTGGTTTTTATACCATTTTATAGAGAATTTTTCGAATTTCATTTTTCTTGTTAAATTTTTTTTGATATCTCTTTTAGTTTTTGAGATATAAGCATTTTAAAAAGTAGTACCAAAATTTTGAAAAAAAATTTTTTTCTCGAAAAATGTTTTTTTCAGCAAAACTCCAAAATTTTCAGATCTGCTCACCGTACGTACGAAAATTGGCCGATCACTTTTCGCTCAACGAATCACCACGTTTTCAGTTGGTACTGTCAACTGTAAAACAAGTCAAAGTGAGTTTTGGGTTTTTTTTAATTTTGAAGAAAAAAATTTTTCTTTCGAATTTTTTCTCAAAAACACAATTTCTAGACCAATTTTTTGCTCTAAACTCGATTTTAGTGACAAAAACCATTGAAAAACAATATTTTTCCTTCAGGTTCTCGACTATTTGGATGGGTTGCCACAGTCTGGTGCTGCTGGCGGACAAAAATTATATTTCGCGGGTTTTTTCAAATTTCATCACATTTTTCTCATCATCATGCTCAGTTTCTTAGCGTTTTAGACTTTTCCCAAAATGCCTTTCTCGATTTCTTGTCGTTTTTTTCTTGTGTCCCATCATTTTTTTTCCTCTCATGTGCCTTTAAAAAAGTTTTGTTTGAATGTAATAAAATCAATTTTCTTTGTGAGAGTTTTATTAAAAATCTTCATTTACATATTAAGACCATTTCACAATTTTATCGAGAATAATCAAACGTAAAACAGTGGAGAACATCCAAAATTTTCAATACGATTCCTAGAGTTACGGGGGGGGGTGTTCGAAAATGAAGCGACTTTGAAAAGCGATAACTCTGCTCAAAATTGAGTGATCTGGTCAGTTTACTGATGAATTATTAGAAATTCTACCCTCCAAATTTGAGCAAAATCCATCAATGTCTTCAGGCATTTTAAAGGTTTTAGTATAATTAAGTTATTGCAATGAATCGATTGCTCTCTAATGCCAAACACCCATTGTAAACCATCCGGGACCACATTCAATCTCTGCCTTCACACCGTCCGTACGCTGGATTCTGTAGCCACCATCAAATACCCATTCCAATGCATCACTGAAAAACAAATATTGAAATGCAGTAAACCAGATGATATACACTTACCTACTACGGTCATACACTCTCACTTCGTTTGTTTTCACAATTTCCAAGTCTTCATCAAACGTTTCTCTAAACATACCTTTCTCGAAATTCAAGTATAACCACTCCAACCGAGCTGATCCACCGGTCCGCCAGTGTCTTAGAAATGAGTTCAAATCGGAAACGGAGAGTATGGAGCCTTGAATGCGAATAAAGAGAACATCGAAATTGATTAAATTGTTGAGAGTGACCCAGTGGCCGTTTGAACCAATGAACAGCTTTCTCATTGGTCCCAGTTTTCCATTGAATTCAAAATCATCGGAGACACAGTCGTCAATAATACAATAGCATGAAGATGCTTTAGGTGAAGATGCTGTGCCCATTTAAACTGGTTTCAGTTCGTTTTTCCTTTCAAAAAATTTTGGATTTTCAGCTAAATTAGACAAAACTTTATGGACAAATTAGGTAAATTTTTTTGTTATATTTTTAAAGATTATACCCTCCCAAGTACGTCATTGCTCATGCTTTTTTGTGTCTCAGACACTTGAGACTCTCTCTCTCTCTCTCTCTATGGATACAAAAAATAAAAGGAATTATATTGACTCCTCATTTTTCCCATTTTTTCCTTTTTTTTTGAGCCAAAAAACTTTTCTTATGAATATTATTAAAAAATATGTATGAGAAATTCCGCGGGATGCTCTCAAGGATTCTGACAAATCCCATTTCTCACATTGATTTGAAAAATATATAAATATGAAAAATAAAAAAAATTCTAAATTTTTTTTCCAAACTTAAAGAATTTTGAAAACCAGAAATTCAGAAATTCAGAAATTCAGGAATTCAGAAATTCAGAAATTCAGAAATTCAGAAATTCAGAAATTCAGAAATTCAGAAATTCAGAAATTCAGAAATTCAGAAATTCAGAAATTCAGAAATTCAGAAATTCAGAAATTCAGAAATTCAGAAATTCAGAAATTCAGAAATTCAGAATTCTGGCGGAGCCTAGTCGTGTTTAAGCTCATTTTGAAGCTGAATTTGTGACAAATTCAATGAGATAGTTTCTGTCAAGGTACCATGAAAATTGAAAATGTTACAATATTTCCGATTTTTCCCTCTAAATTTGTACAATTCTAGCTTTTCTATTTTACCATCAGATAGGTAGTTTTGTTCCTTTCTATTTGTTCCAAATGAGATAGCGAAAAGAAAAGAGAGATTTAGAGAAAAAGGAGAAAAAACTTGTAGAAAAAAAGGAAGAGGTTGACCTTGATTGATATATATTTTGGGTGTTTTGGAATGTGATGAGACAAGGAAAGGAACAAGTTAGGTTAACAAATAAAACACTCGTTTTCATGTTTTTCTTATTGATTTTTTTTTTCACTTTTCTTTAACTGAAAAAGTGTCAAAATTGGGAACATTTGAACATTTTGAAGACTGGGTTTTTAAGTTTCAAAAAAACTACCATAAACACTCCAATAGAACGCCACCCAAAGCGTCGAATTTGAGCCCGTGTATCTCATTTTCAGTGAGAGATATCAAAAAGTGGTCAACTGATAAAATGTAGCTGATATTGTGATAAACATTTTTTCAGTTGTCAAATTTTCGATATCTTTTAAGTGAAGTGAGATACATAGGCTTAAAGTGGACGGTAAGGTATTTCCAACCCATGTTTTGTCCAAAAATGAGAGGTTTTGATCCACTAGATTTAAAAATACAGATAATAAATTTTTTGACCTTCAAAAACCCAAAACTTTCTTTAAAATGTTTTTGTTATTGGTATTTTTTGTGTATTCTTTGAAGATCTGATTATTTTGTTTTTCAGAGTTTTCAAACTATTGAAAAATCCAAAAAATTTCAGACTTTCCACAAAATCCAAAATGCTGAGCATCGATTTTTCTATAAATTTCAAAATTTTGAATTTCTCATAAAATCAAAAAAATTCCCTCTAAATTCTTGGTTCATTTTTTTCCAATATGAAAAACGAGGTACATTTTTCTTTTTTTGTCTCTAAATCTCTCATTTTCCCTATTTTTATGGTTCATAAGACTCCTGAAGCAAGGAACCAGAAACGCTCTTTTTGTTAATTAAGAATTTCCTATTTTTTGGTTCTTTTTTGAAGCCAAAATTTGGGAAAAACCTTCCGTTAGTTCCTCTAATAGACGCCCACCCAATCCGTCAACTTTAAACTCAATTATCTCGGCTCCTGTGAAAGATATTGAAAAGTAATCAACTGATAAAATGTTTATCATGATATCAGCAACATTTTATCAGTTGACTACTTTTTGATATCTTTCACAGGAATTGAGATAAGTGAGCTCAAAGTGACGATTTGGGTGGGCTTCTATTTGAAGAACTACGGTATGTTTCATTCTTTTTTTCCAGATTATCTCCTTTTCAGACATTTTTTTGATCATAATCTACTAGATTTTCTTTTCCTTTTTCTCTTTTTTTTTGGGTTAAAAAACGTCATTATTATTACTTTTTTTGTTTTTTGAAAAACAAGAAAAAACTGAAAATTAGCCAAAAAAAATGATTCACCTATTTTTCTCCCTCTCCTCTGCAGCCCTATAATTGGCTGTAATTTTAGGGAGGATGATGAACAGAAACTGAAAAATAGCAACAAAAAAATACTATAGTTGAATGAAAATCTCTGAAAATTGTCCAGAAAAATATTTGAAAAAAAATTTCAAAAATTGTTTTTTTCAAATTTTTTTCCAATTTTCAAATTATGATATCTCCGAAATTCAGAACAACCAAACTATGGTTTTTATACCATTCAATAGGAAATTTTCTGAATTTTATTTTTATAATTAACAGATTTTTGTTAGATTTTTTAGTTTTTAAGACATAGGCATTTTAAGAAATGGTGTCAAAATTTTGAAAAATATATTTTTTCTTTTTTTTCAAAAACTCGTAGTTTGAAAAATTTTAAAGGTCTTAAATTGATTTTTATACCATTTTATAGGAAACTTTCTGAATTTTATTTTTATAGTAATCAATTTTCTGACAGCTTTTTTAGGTTTTAAGATATAAGCGTTTTAAGAAATGGTGTCAAAATTTTGAAAATAAAATTTTTCAACTTTTTTTTCAATTTCCAGCCTTTTTTTATGGCTTCTATCTCACTTTTCCAACTCTATCATCATCATTTTTTATCTTTTTTTCTCTCTAATCCCATCACTTTTTTCCCATCCTCTCCTATTTTTTCTATTTTTATAAATTTCCGGATTTTCAGAGAAAAAGATGTCCACAACCGATTTATATCTATCGGTGCCCCAGATGCTCAGTTTAGGACAGAGGAGGTTGGTACTTTTTTTTGGAAATCGAACAAATGACTTGGCGCTAAATTCAAAATTAAAAAAAAAACTTTTTTTTGGAATATTTTTTTTTATATTTTTATATAATTTTCCAAAACATTTGTTTAATGATATTTATACCATTTTATAGGAAATTTTTGGAATTTCATTGTTGTAGTTGACCATTTTTTGATATCTCTTTTAGTTTTTGAGATATGAGCATTTGAAAAAATAATCCCAAAAAAATTCCAAAAAAATTTTTTTTTTTCTAATTTTTCAAGTTATCATATCTCAAAAACTAATAAAAAAGAAATTGTGATTTTTACACCATTTTAGAAGAAATTTTCTAAGTTTTATTTTTGTAGTTAACCGTTTTTTGATACCTATTTTAGTTTTTGAGATATGAGCATTTGAAAAAATGATCCCAAAAAAATTCAAGATTTTTTTTTCAAAAATTCAGATGACGTGATCGTCATCTGAAAATTCTAGACATGTGCAGATTAGGCTCCACTAATGCGGATTATTATTTATCAGAGAAAGTTGTCGTCATTTTTTGTTTATCAGGAAGTTTTTTTTTGTTGAAAAATCTGAAGAATCTGAAAATCCAAAAATTCCAAAAATCCGAAATTCTGAAAATCCCGATATTTCGAATTTTGGAAAATTTTCAAATTTCCCGCCCAACCATTTTCATTCAAATTATTTTTCAGAAACAGCGAAGGAGGCCTAAACTCCAACGACCTATTGTCCCAGGGAAGTGATTCCCTAATGGATTCAGCTGGTTTAGGCTCCTCCCATCCGAATTTGAATTCTACAGGAAGACGTGAAACGAATCCATCGATTTTTGACGAACATTTAGTGGATGCCTTCCGGAAACACTATGAAATTGGTTAGTTTTTTTTTTTGAAATTCTGAAAAATCAAAAAAAAAAAAATATTTTTCGAAAAAATTGAAAACTCCAAAAATCTAGTAAAACCACATTTTCAGCAGTTTTAATTTAAATATTCAGATTCTATGCTCAAAATCCAAAATTTTGAGCCCCATATTGCCCTGTTTCTGACAATTTTGAAGTTTCGGATTTTGAGAAAATAGGTCAAGGGTTCGACTCCCCCTCTATGGCATAGCTATTTTGCAAGTGTGTCTGGGTTTAAAATAGCAAGGAAATTGATTAAAACCCATAAAAATTAATGGAAGAGTCCGAAAATCGAGTTTTAAGAAAAAAAAAATTTTTTTCCGAAAACTTTAAAAATTTCAAAAAATGTTTTTTTTGAAAGTTTTTTTCCAACAGTTCTAGAACAATTTTAATATTTTCCCTATCATTTTTCTTGTCCCACTGTAATATTTTTTACAATTCTCACCTCCCCTTGATAAGCCGCCTGATACACCTATCACAAATATTCCAAATGTGTAAAAAAAACTTTTTACCCAAAAAATTTTTTCCGATTTTTTTTTCTATTTTTGTAAACACTTTGAATTTCGTCAAAAATACTTGAAAAGCACTCATAAACCTTTTAAATTGTTTACTGTAGTTCTTTGAAATTTTTGAAAAATTCCAAAAAATTTTAATTCCAAATTTTTTTTCTAAAAACCAAATTTTTGGACTGTTCTCTGAACTTTTTGAGGATTTTAATAAATTTCCTTGCTCATTTAAACCCACACACACTCGCAAAAAAAATCATGCCACAGGGCGGAGTCGAACCCGTGACCTGTTTTCTCAAAACCCAAAACTTCAAAATTATCCAAAATAGGGCGATATGGGGCTCAAAATTTTGGATTTTAAGTCTAGAATCCGAATTTTCAGGTTAGAACTGCTAAAAATGAGGTTTGAGTGGATTTTTGAGAGATTCCATAATTGGAAAATTTTTTTTTTTTAATTCCAAAAAAAAAAATTAAAAAATCTTTTTCTGATTTCTGATTGTTTTTTTTTCAAAAAATCCAAAACATCCTCTTATGACCACTAGACCTTTTTTTTAATCTAAAATACGGTCTAGTGTTCTTGAAATTTTTCATTTTAAATAAATTTTTGACGATTTGCAATATTTTTAAGTTTTGATTTTCAGAAAAAAATTCAAAAAAAATTTCTTTTTTCAGAATTTTTTTTTCAATTCATTGAATCAATTTTTCCCTTTTTTCTGAAAAAAATTGGTTATCTAGATGACCTTACCTTAAGGTCATCTGAAAGGGGGAAACTGACTGACCCGAATGAATGAATGCCACTCCTTTTGAAGGTTTTTCTAGAATTTTTGGGAATTTTATATTCTGATAGTTTCGGTTTTCGAAAATTTTAAAACCAAAATTTAAGAATCTGAAAATCAGATAAATTGAAACAAACTGAAATTTGGTTTTTTTTTGTTGAAAATTTGAAAATAACCGTACAAAAAAGTTACTTTTAAATCAATTATCTGAAAACTTTGTTTTCTTTTAAATGCTATTTTTTAAATGGAAAAATAATTCCTGAACTTTTAATTTCAAAAATCCGAAAATCTGAAAATTACTTGAAATTTTGAATTTTCACTTAAAATTGAAAAGCAAACCTCCCATAAATTTTTTTAAAATTCAAAATCCTGACAAACTGAAATGCTGAAAATCTGAATTTCTAAATTTTGAAATTTCGAAGTTCTAAAAATCTGGAATTCTGAAATTCTGAAAGTTATCCCAACATTTTGATTTTTTTTAACCAAAAACTGAAAACCAATCCTACCCTAATATTTGAAACTTTTCAGAAATTTTGAAATTCGAAAAATCTGAAATTATGAAAATACTTTAAATTTTAAAATTTCCCAAAAAATCGAAAATTTAATATTTTATAATTCAAAATCATGAATATCTGAAATTCTAAAATTCAAATTCTGAAAAATTCTGAAATTTTGAAGTTCTAGAAATATTTGAATTTAGAATTTTTAGAAATTCGGAAAATGTTGAACATCACCTGAAATTTTGAATTTTTTTCAAAAACTCTAAAAATCCTAATTTAAAGAATGCGTAGTCGTGAAAATCTGCAATTGTCCGAAAGTTCAAAATTAAATTTTCATCAATTTCAAAAATCGAGAATTTGAAAATTGTTCTGTTATTGTGAGTCCCTGCCATAATTTCTTTCAGAATCGATATTTTCGAACCAACTAAATCAGATATGATAGAGCTCCACGAGTACTACAAAAAGATATTATTTGGAATACTGTATCTTATCTATGAACAAAGTTACAGATCATAAAGTGAGGTTTTCTCGCAGGGCCCGGCTGCTTTTTTTGCTCCTTTTGCTCTGTAACTCTGTTCATAGACAAGATACAGTATTCCAAATAATACCGTTTTGTAGTACTCGTAGAGCTCTATCATACCTGATTGAGTTGTTTCGAAAATATCGGTTCTGAAAGAAGTTATGGCAGGGCCCGCGAAGGCCCGACAAAGGCCCGGATTACAAGTATGGTGAAAGGTGTTTTCTTCAATTTTTGAAATTATAGGTTGACTTCAAAAAGTTCAAAAATTCCAAAATCCATAAATCCATTGAAACAAAAAAGAGGGTGACGAATTCAATTTCCTAGTTGTCTTCCCTATATAAATCCACTTAATGACCAAAAATACCTCATGTGGTGTTCCCCCTTCTCCTCTCATTTAGTCTATTTTCAAGTGCTCCTCTTCTTCTTTTCATCCAAAAAAAAGAAGAATCATCTGGATGCCATCCGAATGACGGAAGGGAGAAGAAGAAATTTCACTTTTGTTTCTTGCTTTATTTTTTTGCCTGCCCACGCAATAGATAGATTGATGTTCTGGGATAGTCTTCTGTATTGATAAGAACATTCTCTGTTGTTTTTTGTTGTCTTTTTCTCTTTGTTTTGGCAGAATTGAAAAAATTGCTAAACAACTTTGAAAGTTACATTTTCGGAAGAATCCTCAAAAAATATAGCAAATATGATAGGCCTGTTTTGAGGGCTTCCAACTAGCCTAGATTGAGCACTAAACCCTATTTTTATTCAGAATCTAGCTGACTTAACTTGCTTCATTTTCACCACATAGCGATGAAACTAAAATTTTTGAAATCCTCAAAAAATTTGCTTCAATATACACTTGTTTTAAAGCTGTATAACTGGCTTCGTGTAGTTTGCATTGTCTTGAAACTTATATATTTGAAATCTACGGAAAAATGTCAATCAGACGGGTACAGACGGGTACCGTAACTCGACTAGTTTTCAAAGAATGTTTGCTAAAACTTATATTTTTAGAATCCACGGAAAATTTGCAATTGGATACGCTTGCTTTGAAAACTGTTAATTTGTCTAGTTTTCAAGATTGAGCTTTGAAATTTATATTTTTAGGATCGACATAAAATTAGTAATAAGACAAGTCTGTTCTAAAGGTTTATAACTTTTTTAGTTTTCAAGATTGAGCGCTAAAACTTGTATTTTTAGAATCACCGAAACATTTGCAATAAAATAAGTTTGCTTTGAGCGCGCCTAACTTGCCAAGTTTTCAAGAATAAGCTAAGAAGTTCACATTTTTGGAATCTACGGAAAATTTGCAATAAGATGGGCTTTTTGACATTTTCGAACTTTCTCGAAACTCTGAAAAATCTCTAGTTAGCCAAAGAATTTACCAATAGTCTAAACAGTAGTCTCAACACTAAACCCCACAGTAATCCTCTCATTTTACAACATCGCTCAATCTACATCTACACACTATCCAAGGGGGTCAAATGTAGATAATTCGCGTCCCGATATTAGAGATTCTCCAATGAGATTCATATAATTTGTGTGTAAAAACGAGTGAACAAGGGGGACACTGGGTCACTTTTATTGTTGTTTTTGTTTTGAATTTCCTTTTTTCGACCGTTGATCATTAGAGGGTTGTTAAGACATTGATAGGACACAAGGGGGCCTTAAGGATCCGGATTACTGGAGATTTTTGGGTAATTGATTTAATTAGTGCACAATAAAATGTCTATTAAAGAAATAGGTGCATTTTTGGTGAATTTGAGAATTATTTAAAGTTTCTAGAATGTTTGAAAACGCGTATGACCAAAAAACCTCTCAACTTGAAGCTGAATTATCACGCTTCCTATAAATGATATCAAAAAGTTGTCAACTGATAAAATGTTTATCATAATATCAGCTACGTTTTATTAGTTAACCATTTTTTAATATCTCTTATAGGAACCGAAATAATAGAGCTCAATGCTCTACGATACCTCATATAATTTTTCATAGGTGTGATCCCTAACTTTAAGCCCATATATCTCACTTCTTATGAAAGATATCAAAAAGTTGTCAACTGATAAAATGCTTATCATAATATCAGCTACATTTTATCAGTTAACTACTTTTTGATATCTACTCTAGGAACCGAAGAAAATTAGCTCAATGTTAAATGTAAGGTAGCTCTTTTACGATTCAATTTTTTCGCACTTTTCAAACCTTTCCCATGGGGATTCTTCAGATTTTTATCTCTTTGATTCAGCGTCATATCCGTTTCTTCCTTTCTCTTTTGAACTGTCTAGGCTACACAGAGAAAAATTGTTTCCTTCCCGATCAAACCATCATCATCATCATCTTCAAAAACCCTTTTTCATTATTTTTCCGTTGTTTTTGCAAGATATTTATGTTTTTTTTTCTAGATTTTTCCTATTTTTAGGCTATAAACTAAACGGTATATTGTAGAAATTTTTAAAAAGCTAATTTTCCAGAAGAAAATATTCTAGAAAACCGATTACTGTAGTTTTTGAAAGGCTACTCTATGGAAATATCCTCCTAATTTTTGTCATTTTCCGAACTTTTCCGAATTCTGTGAATGGCAATTTTCAACCAAGCTACACAGTTAAGAAGTCAAAAACAGACCAAAAATGGCTCAAAATTGGCTCAAAAACGGTTCTTTTTTTTTTCAAAAAATGGTTCGAATATTCTGTTTATTGTCTGTCTAGGCTACAAACCATCAATATCCATCCCTTCCACGGCGTTATCATCACTGACTACAAGTGTACGGAATGAGAAGAACTGATCTTATCATTTCGGATTTTAGTTCTCTTTTTTCTTCTCTAGTTCTGATCAAATTGGACACACAAACATTTTCATCGCTACAAAGTATGATTACGGGAACAGTTGTCATATCTTGATTTCTATAAAAGATATCGAAAAATTGTCAACTGATAAATTATTTATCATAATATCAGCTACATTTTATCAGTTGACAAATGTTTTATATCTCTTACAGAAAAGGAGATAATTGAGTTCAAAGTGAAAGCAGTGGAAGCGCTTCAGCATTTGGTATTTTTTGGATACTTTTTTTGGAAAACAATTTGAAAATAATTTTTTTTAAATTTTTCTGAAAGTTTGGCAGTTTTGAAATATTGCTATTGTTAAAGTTTATACCCTTTGGTTATTATTTTAACTTGAAAAGTTCAAGAAATTTCATCGAATCATATGCTGTTCTAACATTTTTAGCTACATTCTAGTATCTCCAAATCGAACTTTTGAAATTCCATATTTTCAATTTTTTGACTAAAAAAAATAAACTCAAGTGTCAGCCAGGAAACTTGAAACACCCTAATTAAGTATAAATTTTAGACTAAAACTTCCTTGTTGAGATTTGTCTGGATTTTTGCGCGCGGATCCTCCACCACACTATCAATTTTGAGCTCAATTATCTCGGTTCCTGTTAGAGATATCAACAAATTGTCAACTGATAAAATGTAGCTGATATTATGATAAACAATTTATTAGTTTATAATTTTTTAATTTCTCTTACAGGAACCGAGATAATTGAGCTGAAAGGGAACCCAATGGGCGCGCTACCACGATTTCTAGTAAAAAGCTACTTGCACTTTGAGCTCAATTATCTCGATTCATGTAAACGATATCAACAATTTGTCAACTGATAAAATGTAGCTGATAACATAATAAACAATTTATTAATTGACAAATTTTTATATCTCTCACAGGAGCCGAGAGAAAGCGCTTCAAAGTAACGGTTAAGGAAACCTTGTTATGATCTCTAGTGAGCTTCACTCTATACTCCTCTTTGAGCTCAATTATCTGGGTTCCTATAAGAGGAATCAAAAATTTGTCAACTGATAATATATTTGGCATAATATCAGCTACATTTTATCAATTGACAACTTTTTGATTTCTTTTGCAGGAACTGAGAAAAATTGGTTCAACGTATATTGCTTATAATTAGAATTTCAAGAAATTGGATCATCCTTTGTCCCTTTAATTGTCCCTTTAAAACTCCCAAATTTCTTCAATGCCATACACTGATGACCTCACAAAGAGACCCGTTATCTCTAAATTAGATCTTCCTAGAGGCGCAGTACCGTATGATGACACATCATGAACCATACAAAAAGAAAAAAAAAGAAGAAATAAAATGTTTTTTTATCTGAAAATTCTATCTTTTTGGGATCATGCCATTATGTATAGTTCCTTGAGCGAATAGGCAAAAAAAGACAAAAGTTCGTGTTTTAAGATTTTTATCTTTTTAAAATTGTCTGTAATTCTGAAATTTGTGTTTTGTTGAGACGATGCTGTTCTTCTAAAATAGATTTTTCTGTTTTTTTGCCTATATTTTTTCACGATTTCCTGTTTAATCAACATTGATAAGGATAATGATATGATAATGAAAGAGAAAGGTTGAGATTGCTTATATTTTTTGTTGATAGGACTGGCCTAATTATGATTATATATTCTGAATATTCTGGAATTTTTGAATATTCTGGAATTTCTGAATTTCTGAATTTCTAAATTTCTGAATTTCTGAATTTCCTGGAATTTCTGAATTTCAGAATTTCTGAATTTCCGAATTTCTGAATTTCTGAATTTCTGAATTTCTGAATTTCTGAATTTCTGAATTTCTGAATTTCTGAATTTCTGAATTTCTGAATTTCTGAATTTCTGAATTTCTGAATTTCTGAATTTTGGAATTTCTGAATTTTTGAATTTCTGAATTTCTGAATTTCTGAATTTCTGAATTTCTGAGTTTCTGAATTTCTGAATTTCCGAATTTTGGAATTTCTGAATTTTTGAATTTCTGAATTTCTGATTTTTGAAACTTTGTCAAAAATCAAAAAAAAAAAAAATTTCTCGCATGCATCAATAATTTTTTTTCCTTTTGCAACTAACTAATCCTATTCAGTGAGCACAAGTACATGAGTATGTACTTGTACGTAAGAGACAGCTAATTTTGAACTTTGTTGTCTGAAAAATACCCATTTCTAAAAATTGTTTTCAAATTTATATACTTTTTGAATTATTATATTTCCCAATTTTATGATTGTAGACTTTTGAAAATTGAAGAACTTTTTAAAAATTCCAAAAAACATTTTCTACAACAAAAATATTAATTTTCTGAATTTTTCAGCATCCGTAATCGGCGACTTTGAACGAGCTGGTAGGGAGGAAAAGTTCAAAAAGCAGCAGCAACATCAATCACGCTCTCAACTCTCCAGTCCATCGTGAGTCTTCAAATTTTAAGATTTTAAAAAATTTCTAAAAAATTTTTTTTTTGGAATTTCTCAACTTTGAGCTCATCTATCTCGATTTCTGTGAACGATATTTAAAATTGGTCAACTAATAAAATGTTTATCATAATATCAGCTACATTTTATCAGTTGATCATTTTTAGATATCTCTAACAGGAACCGAGATAATTAAGCTCAAAGAGCACTACCGGTAAATAGACAATTTTAAGGTAGTAGACCTCCTTAAGCTCTATTTTTGAGCGAATTTATCTCGGACCATGAGAACGATATCTGAAATTGGTCAACTAATAAAATGTTTATCATATTATCACCTACATTTTATCAGTTGATCACTTTTAGATGTCTCTAACAGGAACCGAGATATATAAGCTTAAAACTAAATGCTTTAAAATTCCAGAAAAAAAGTTTCTGAAAAAAATTGTTTTCAAGATTTCTGATTTTCAGAAATGTCGTTTTTTCTCTAGAAAAAAGTGTTATTTTAGTCAAAAACTTTTCTAATTCCTGTTTTCCCAGGGTTTCCATGGAAACCCGGTAATTTGGGGGAGACATTGGGTGGATACACTGAGAAAAAAATTTTTGAGCCAAAAAAATAATTTTTTTGGCTCTTTTTTTTGACACAAATTTCCGGGAGTGTACTTATCGTAATCCTAAAAAGAGTACAACAATGATATAGTTATTTCAATGGAAATTCCTAAAATTCATGTCATTTCGATTTGCTCTAGCTCAGAAGCGAAATTTAGAAATTCTAGAAAAATTAGATTTTCAGAACAAAAGTCTATAGCAAACATATAAAATTGTATGTCATCTGAAAGCTCTAAATCTGACAAACAAAATGAGCTAAAAATAAAGTTTCTAGCTTGATTCTGAAGCGAGATATAGCCTTTTTTGCATTTGAGAGAGACGCAGAAAATCGAGAGCGCTATTTCATTAAAAGTAAAATTTTCGAAAAAAAAAATGAATTTTGGAAATTTTCTCTGCGTCTTCGGCCATCGGAAATGAACCAAAAAAGACAGAAGAAACAGATTTTCTCGAGAGATATTGAAACCATTGTCTCTCCCTCACTTTTTCTTGCGTCCATTTCACTTTTTTTCTCGAAAAGATTATATCTTTTTCATAATTACTAAGAATGTATGAGATTTCTATACAAAATTATCTTAAAATACAAATTCTAGCCATCAAAATGCAAGAAAAACCATTTTTCTAGGTCTGTTCCAGCGCGAGTTACAGCCATTTTTGCATTTACGCAGAGACGCAGAGAAACGAGAGCGCTCTCGTTTCCCTGCGTCTCTCTCAAATGCAAAAAAGGCTATATCTCGCTTCAGAATCAAGCTAGAAACTTGATTTTTAGCACATTTTGTTTGTCAGATTTAGAGCTTTCAGATGACATACAATTTTATATGTTTGCTATAGACTTTTGTTCTGAAAATCTAATTTTTCTAGAATTTCTAAATTTCGCTTCTGAGCTAGATCAAATTAAAATGACATGAATTTTAGGAATTCCCACGAAAAAATACAGTATCTCATTACACAAAGATTACGGTACTCTATTTTTTTGAGATTACAATACGGTACTTTAACTGGAATTTCAGACAAAATTTTTTTTGGTTTTTTCTGAAAAATTTTAATTTAAAGATTTTTTTGAAAATTTCCAAAATTCCGACTTTTCCGAAAAATTTTGTCTGAAAATGCTGAAAATTGAGATTTTCAGAATTTGTCTTCTGATTTGTCTCACCCAATTCTCTTTATTTCTGTCTGTCTGAAAAAAATTTTCAGCCAAAAAAATTTTTTTGGCTGAAATTTTTATTTCTTCGTATCGTTGCCAGGGGAGCTGTTTTTCTTATCTGTTTACCTCTAGAAAACTCGATTTACGTCAGGAATATCTCATTAGAGTCTTTTCAGCGCTCATTTTTAGAATATTCAGAGGAAAAAAAACATTTTCAGACAAAAATTTTTTTGGCTGAAATTTTTTTTCTCTGAAACTTTTCAAAAAAAAAACTTTTCTAGACTGGAATTTTCTGAATATTCTAAATTTTTAGTTCATTTTTTTTTGATTTTCACTCCAGAATGGTACGCGGTGGTCCGCAACTACGCACCCGTAGCCCTCGCCCATTGATACTACAGAACCAAATCAACAAGTGGAGAAACGATGAGAGCTCGTCGATTTCGTCAGCCGATTCGGCGCTTGGTAAGTGGATTACTGTAATTTGAGTATTGTAAAATTATAGGCAATAAAATTTAGAACATTTTTGTAGTTTGTAGTTTCTAAATAGCTAGGAGGGGAAGGAAGATATAACGGGTTAACTGTTGTGTTCAGAAAAATAGGCATATCTCAAGAACCATTAAAGCTAGCTACAAACTACAAACTACAAAAATACGCAAAATTAAATTTTAAACATTTTTGTAGTTTGTAGTTTTGATCTACCATTCATGGTTTCTGAGATATATCCATTTTCCTGGCGAACCTACTTGGCGCCATATACGGTATCTTCCCTGTCCTTCCAGCTATTTAAAGACTACAAACTATAAAATAAAGCTGAGCAATAGTATTATCCTCCAGAAGAGCTTGCATTTCTCCACTCGGCACCAGATCGGCAAAAGAATCAAAAATGGGAATGGTTGAGGCGAGAAGCGAGGAATTTTGTGGATGACGTCATCAATGCGTTCGAGACAGGGACACCCGGAGAACATGCTGCCCAGCAGGAGACCGAAAAATTGTCGGCCGTGCAGTTGAGGAAGGATATTAAGCGATTTTGTGAGTTTTTTTTGCCAATTTTTGGGGATTTGCCCGTTCCTTGCCCATGCCTTGCCCATTTCCTGCCCATCCAAAAGTTTCAAACCGATTCTGCACAGATTTATCACATATTTTGAGTTATTGCCGTTTTTTTTTTTTGCCCATTCTTTGCCCAATCCTTGCCCATCCCTTGCCCATCTATAAGTTTATAGGCTAAATCGCACACAAATTTATCCTTTTGACCGGTTTTTAGCTCAATTTTCGATTTTTTGCACTTTTTTCCATTACTCGCCAGTGCCTTGCCCATCACTTGCCTATCCCCTGCCCTTGCATTGCCCATGCCTTGCCCATTGTCCAAAATTGACAGAACCCAATCAATATTGAGCTCAAAATGTCGCAAATTCCAATGCAAATTCAAAATTTTTCATTTTTTGTCCATTTCTTGCTCATTCCTTGCTCATCCCTTGCCCCTGCCTTGCCCATTCCTTGCCCAATGTTCAAACTTAACCAAATCTAGTCAATACTAGGCTCAAAATGTCCCAAATTTCCAGCCAAATTCAAAATTTTAAACCAAATCTAGACAAATGTTACATTTTTGCCCATCCCTTGCTCACCTACGTGCCCATCTCTTGCCCATTGTTCAAAGTTAACCGATCTTAGTCAATATTAGGCTCAAAACGTTTCAAATTGTAAGCCAAATTCCAATTTTTTAATTTGCCCATCCCTTGCCCTTTCTTTGCCCATATCTTGCCCAAAACCCAAAATTAACCAAATCTAGTCAATATTAGGCTAAAATGTTGCAAATTTAAAAGCAAACTCAATAGTTCTATTTTGCCTATTTCTTGCCCATTCCTTGCCCATCGCCTTGGACATTCCTTGCCCAAGACTTAAATTTCACCAAATACTATCGAGTTTGGGCTCAAAATGTCGCAAATTTTTATCTAAATTCGAGATTTTCATTTTTGCCCATTCCTTGCCCAGGCCTTGCCCAGGCTTTGCCCAGGCTTTGCCCATGCATTTGCCCATCCTGAAGATTCCAGGAAATTCTCAATCCAGTCGAAATTGGGATCAAAATGTCGCAAATTTCAAGCCGAATTTAAATATTCTATTTTGCCCATTTCTTGCCCATCCCTTGCCCAAGACTTGAACCTCATCAAATCCAATCATGCTTAGGCTTAAAATGTCACAATGTCCCAGCCAAATTCAAGATTTACATTTTTGCCCGTTCCTTGCCCATCCCTTGTCCAACATCCAAAATCAACCAAATCTAGTCAATATTAGACTCAAAATGTCCCAAATTTCAAGCCAAATCCAAATTTTCCAATCAAAAATCTTTCAGATTCCGCGGTCCATCCCTACCTGGAAGTCTTTTCCGCCCTCTACGACATCATAATGTGGAAGAATCCCCTATCCACCCTATTGCTCATCCTAACCATCATCTATTCCCTCTACCGTGGATGGCTCGCAACGTTGCTCTTGGCTTTATTGATCTTCCAATTATCGATTAATTATCTTCACTCCGTCAAAAATATCGATTTGGGATGGATGTTCCTGCCCAAGAAGCAGGTCATCATGCCCAAATTTGACATTTCCGGGGCCCAGTTGATTTTTGATATCGCCAAGTTGGCCCAGAAACTGTTAAGACTGGCTACGAATATTCTGGAGAAGCTGGAATCCCTGTTCCTCTGGAAGAATCCAAAAGTGACACGTGTCTTTCTGATTCTATCGATTTATTGGTTCTTCTGGACCGTACTCTTCTCAACGGGCACTTGTATTGGATGGACCGTACTGGCAATTGGCATCCGTATATTTTTCACCACATATCTTTTCGAAAGATTCCCAAAATTGAAATATCGATTTGACACTTATGGCTATTTCTACCGTAATCTTCCAATTCGAGGGAATTTCGTTTCTACACCGAGAAGTCAACAAGCGGCAAGAGGTGGGCAAGGACAAGGACCTACACCGGCAAGTGCAAGAAGCGTCACTAGCACGATTGCTCAGCATAACTTGGAGAGAATTCATGGAGCACACAGCCATCAGGAGCCAGAGGAGCGATGTGTGAGTCATTTTTATGCAGGTTTTGGCCATTCTTTGCCCATAATTTGCCGAAATTTGAAATTTCGATAAATCTAGTCAATATTGGGCTCAAAATGATGCAAAATTTATTGTCAATCCGAATTTGCTTATCCCTTACTTTAAAAACAGCGTTTTTGACCATTTCCGGCCATCCTGCCCATCCCTTGCCCACCCCTTGCCCATAGCTTACCCATAGCTTGCCTTTTTCAATTGATCAAATTAAGTGCTGGCTCGGAAACTACAGAATTTAAGGCAAACAATTGTATTCTGAATTTTTGATTTTGTTGGGTAGCTTGCCCATCCCTTGCCATTCCCTTGCCCGTTTATTGCCCTTTGATCCAATTACGACCCATTTCAGCTCAAAATGTCATAAATTCCACAAAAACTAGGATTTCTTGATAACCAGCTTTCTTATTTCTTGTCCATACCTTGCCCATCCTTTGCCCATCCCTTGCCCATCCCTTGCCCATAGAAAGTTTATTGATCAATTTGGGTCATTTCAGGCCAATAAAAAACCATAAATTTTCCCGATTTTGACATTGATGGCGAGCTTGTCCATCCCTTGCCCATTTCTTGTCCTTTCCTTGCCCAATGATCAAGGTTCCCGCGTCTGGTCACATTGGGGCTTAAAATGTTTCAAACTCTGAAGAAAGCTCAATTTTTGAAAACAAATCTACTTCAAACTCTCATTTCTGCCCATCCCGTGCCTATTCCTTGCCTATACCTTGCCCAACGTCTCAAACTTTACCAAATCTAGTCGTGTTTAGGCTCAAACTGTTGCAAATGGCATGGGAAACTCAAATTTGCCCAACCCTTGCCTAAAAAGTCATTTCCAGCACACTCCTAGCTCCAGGAGCCTATCCGCATTTGCCACCGGCGAGAAATTCGAGTCCCGCCTAGGATCAAACTTCAATTTGGACCAATCAGCGGCCGTGAATTTGCTCCTGGGACCACACCACCGTAACCCTCAACACCCTGCACATCATCTACAGTATGACTCGAGTCCTCATTTGGACACACATTCAGAAAACTTGGTGGATTCTCCGAATGCTGAAAATATTTCACTGCCTGGGGGAATAAATTTGGAATTTGGAGGCGCAGGACCGTCTAGGAATCCAAGTATTGAAGAAAATGAAGAGCTGGAGCACACCTCGGAGTGTGCTGACCCAATTATTGATAATGTTATTGCTTGTGAGTTTGGAAAAAAAAATTTTTGAAATTTTTTCTGTCAAAATTCTTTCAAATTCAAATATCGTGCATCGAAAGTAATATATTCAATATTCTGAAGTCAAGAGCTTTCAAACGAACCCCCACACGACTAGGCTCCGCCCGCTTCGAAATTTCACTTGGACACGCGACGCACGACCGCGACGCGCCACTGAAAAATCAAAGTGTGCGGAGCCTAGGCGATATGGGTCTCATTTTGAAGCTCGTGATTTCAGGAAACATTTTAAATAGTTTTTGGGAAGAAATAGACAACATTTAAAAAGTTTTGAAGTTTAAAAAAAAATATATTCAAAATTTTTTTTTCTGAAAAATTTAAATTTTCCAAAATTCCAGTCCGGAGTTGTGTGATGAACGAAAAAGAGCGACTTTTTCCAATGGGAATCACACCGGGGATACTGTACCTGACAGATGCAGCACTCGTTTTTCGGGCTCGAAACCAGTCGGATGATAAGGAGCAGTTGATGATGCTTTTTCATGATTTAAAAGTCATTAAAAAGGTTGGTTTAACTTTAGAGTTAATAAGAATAAAGTAGAATTTGAAATTCCCTATCTTTTGGTACTAAAATCAAGAAAATCCGGCTAATTTTAGAAGAGTTACAGCCAATTTTAAGCCTTTTACACCTAAAAATTAGCCAGTTTCGCTCAATTTTAGCTCATTTTTTCGCAATTTCAAAAATTTTAGATAATTGACTAGCAGTTATTGATTAATGTAACAATACCCTACATTTTGATTCTAAAATCATAAAAATTGGACTTGAATTAGAGGGGTTATGATCAATTTTCGGCCTACAGTACCTCAAAACGGCTCGATTTTGCTGGATTTTGGCTCATTTACCCTCGATTTTTCGATACAAAATGAAATGAATGACTTATAAATTGATAAAATTAGACATTCCCTACAATTTCGTGCTAAAATCATAAGAATCCATCAACAATTGTCAGAGTTATGGCCAATTTTAAGCCTATTACACCTCAAAATCACCCGATTTTGCTCAATTTTGGCTCATTTCTTCCCGGAGTTTCGCTCAAATTATCGATTTTTCCAGACACAATCACTCCGATCAATGTCGCTGATCACTGGAACCCGTAAAAGCCTTGAAATTCACATGGAAGGCCGTCGTAAGCCGGTCCAATTCATGGGACTCGCGAAACGCGACGATTTTGTCACACGGATTCAACTGATGTGTCGGAATGCGTCGGCTGATGTACAGTTCTCCGAATAAATCGATTTTTTTATCGATTTTCTAAAAATTTCATTTTACCAAATCTGCTTTATATTTTTAATTCAAAATTTTTGAGAAAAAAAATGTTTTTTGAAAATTTTTTTTTTCAAAAATTTCGAAAATTTCCCATGACCTTAAGTGTAGCTACTGTAAGATCCCTGTGTAATTGAATCTAGTCATTTTTGAACTGTATTTTTCTCAAAAAAAAAGTGATTTATTTGTGAAAATTTGAATAAAAATGTATTTTCTCTATTAATAATGACCGTAAACACTCTAATAGAACGCCACCCAAATCGTCCACTTTGAGCCCATGTATCTCACTTTTTTTGAAAGATATCAAAAAGTGGTCGACTGATAAAATGTACATGATAATATGATAAACATTTTATCAGTTGACCACTTTTTGATATCTTTCACAGGAAGTGAGATGCATGGGCTCAAAGTGGACGATTTGGGTGGCGTTCTATTAGAGTGTTTACGGTCATTATTAATAGAGAAAATACATTTTTATTCAAATTTTCACAAATAAATCACTTTTTTTTTGAGAAAAATACAGTTCAAAAATGACTAGAGAATTCCACCACAGTGGCGATGATATCAGATCTGCCGGTCTACT